TCTCTCTCTCTCTCTCTCTCTCTCTCTCTCTCTCTCTCTCTCTCTCTCTGCGCGAGCGCAACCTCGAGCGGATTCGTCGGCGGAGATGATATCGGCAAATATTATTCGGCGAGGCACGGCATTAACATTATTACCTGCGATCTACTTCCGAAGGCTGTAGCCGCGTTCGATCCGCGGCTATTGGCCGCGTTATACGGTTATGTAATAATCCGGCAGTCGGGGACGCGGCGAGAGAGATACGTTGGAGAGACGCATCACTCCTCGAGAAGGATCTTTTATCTCACGTCGCGAGCTGTGCGAAATTAAGGGTCCTCGACACGCACGTCAGTTACGGTAAATTGCGACATCAGACGCCGGCAAATCGTCGCCGGGAATCACGCGCGTGCGACTCTCGACAGTGCCTCCATTAATTCGCGGTGCAATAGCGCCGGGCGAATGCAAGTGTAAAGTGAACAGGATCGCTGTCACAGTCGACTTGTTGACTCCGAGTGTATAATCGTAGCCGAACGGGATATTTTCCACGACGACAATGACGACGACGACGACATCGAGAGATTTATCTCGTTATGTTTGTGTCGCGATCCGAGTTTCACGCAAGTAGATCGCCGCCGCGGAAGTTGGTGCGCGCCTTTGTAAGAGTCTCAAGCTAAAATTCCCGACGACAAGTCGGGACGCTCCTTTCCCTTTGAAGACGAAGTTTCGCGCTCGCAAAAGTCAAGCATGGCACGGACACAACCGGTAGTAATCGCATGGTAGGCTCGCCCGTTGCGAATCGATCCAGGAATATTCCAATATAACCCCCTTGCGAAATCGCTCACGTCTGGGTGGACGATGCCAGCACGGAAATACCGCGGTGAAGAGGACATTCAGACCGCTCCCGATGCTCGTCCAATTGCGAGAATTACTTGGCTAACTTTCGCGACACACCACGTTACGAACTTTACGAACCGGCGATGTCGGAGTTCCGTCCCGCGCGAGTCGCGTCGCATCAAGGAACTCGCCAAGTGCCTGCTGTTGTCAGACTTCCCGGCGTTATGGCCGTATGTAAACAAACAAATTCTTATCTGCCGAGTTTCGATGCGATTCTAATGCCTCCGATACGTATCGTCGCCGATATCGCGGCCGCGTTCTCCCGTGTCTCGCCGGCGCACGTTGGCAAGCAATTGCGAAACGGAAGAAACAATATTTATGAACGCGAGACAATATTTGGCAACAATATTTGGGAAATGGTTTGCAGAAGCAACAACAGCCGTCGAAAGTATCTCTCGCGTACGACACGAGCCAACAGAAAGAGTGTCATTCGTGCGGCGAACCGTCTTGGACGACACAAACCTGCTGACGAGACGTAAAATCGTACGTTGGCGTATGTTGGTGAAACGCCACGCAACGGAACACGCAAGAAAGCGCGTCTCGCGCGTCCCAGGACGAGAACTTTAACGTTCGCAGACGAAAGTCACAGTTGAAGGAGCCGCTTTAAGAGTCGCAAGCGCGAGCACGAGCCTGTGGCGTTTAACCACCCTCCAACGTACAGCAACGAGCACTCGGCCGAGAACACGGAGAAGACGCGCGTGATCGCCTCTGGCGCACAGCTTTCCCTAATACGAATATAAATATTAGCAAAGATCAACACGTGTCGCCACCACGCCCGTGCACGAGCGCCGTGCATTGGATTCCCTCGAGGCTTGTGCTGCCCCGTTTAAATAACGAGTATTTCATGACGCGTATTTTACACCGGCAAGCAAATTTACTGACGTCCCGAGCCACGTCGCGAAGATTTATTCGCGGACCTGTCATCGAAAACGCCAAGAATTTCGTGCCGTTTCTCTCGTCCGTCGCGCTCGTAGACGTCGCTATGCAGTTATCTAGGGAATTCGCACAGCCTTCTCGATTGTTTTCAATTGTCGCAGACGTCTGAATTATTGCAGATCCCGTGTATTATTAACGCGAATAAACCCGACTCTCTGCATAACGAGTACATCTCGCAAGAAATGACGAGTAACATTTCTGACGACATCCACTTAAAGACTAATAATACACTCTCTGAAGTACAATCAGAGCATTCTTCACCGAAATGCTATACTCGTAACTGGTGGTTCAGTTATAAACACAGCACTGCGATCAGTAAAATCTCACTGAAAAAATCAGCTGATAGTAGCGACTGTTTCCATCACTGGTGTATTCTGCAAACACGGACAGCGTCATTGCACGCAAGGATTAGCAGAAGTTATTAGTTCCACATCGCAGAAAATCTGATATGATTTCTAATATATAAATTTTTTATACGCACAGAGTATATAATAAATTTGTGTACTAGAAATTTTGTGATGAAATCTTATTTCCACTGAGCAAAATCAGTGAGACATAAGACGGAGCAATAAAGTGGAAATGTTTTCATTGAAAATTGGTTGAATACTCACTGACTATCGGTGAGATACTCCACTTAACGATTCGATCGACATTTCTACCGATTTACTTTACTCAGAGAGAGTATCAATATCACACACCAAGTAAAGATGTATTCTAGAACGACAAAAATAACTCCGACTGGGTGACGCAGTGAGAGATAATGATGACAACTGACAAAAGTGCGCGCTCTTCATCGTTCGTACACGTAGACGTTATATATTCTTCGAGAGATATACTACTATTGTTATATCGACATTATAGCGCCGTAAGAGAATAGCATAACTGCTCTATAGTGAGGTGTATTCGCAAGGTTAAAAAATTCCACCTTACCGCTTCAATTTACTTGTAAATTTTCGGTCTCTTACTTTGTGAAAGTTAATTCGCACGGGAGAACTCTGGACGAATCGTCAACTCGTTATTTTTATACCTCTACGTTACCAAGGTACTTCGTAAGGCTTTAAAAACCTCAACTTCACTACTATTATCACTGTAATACGTAAGGGATCTACATTCTTGCTGATACCTCTACTTCGTAAGATTTTACGACTTCTTCTAACGATAATACGACCTGCGTGCGTGCTCACCTCGCGGAATCGTGGACGTGGCTCGAACGGTCGTGAAAGCATTTTTTTCTCGTAGCACGCCTCGAACATGTCCTGGTCTCTGACAAGTCGGAGTGAGCGAAGCGCCGAGAGAGGCTTGACGACGCTAACCGTGGTAAGAAGTGATTTTTCTCACCGAGAGGGAAAGAAAGTGCAAATGCACGAACTGTTGATGGCCGAGCTTCCACTCCGACCTGTCCGAAAGAAATGGATGCAACCGCGTTTAAAGTCTGCGCGCTGAAACGCGGCCTGCATATCACTTGAACTCTAGCAATAATCGTGGAACACTTTGTTAGGTCGTGGCGTGGATTTTTAATCGCTGCCGAGCGTTAAGAGCTGGTTGCACCAACATCCACACAATCGTGTAAATTTCACTCTTTCTCTCCGTCTCTCTCATTTTCTTTCTCTTTTCTGCTCTCACTGCACAGAGTTTCTCATGCTTTCTGCATCAGATTTCGAGACCCGCGTTTGCACGGTAAACCGGGGTAACTTTGAACGGACCTTTTTATAATCGGACCTATGTTTACGAACGGTAATCAAGATTCACTTACAAATGAGAAATGGACATGCAATTAATCGGCGCAAATAAAGATTTCGTCGTCCATTTGGACCCGCTCATTTTTGGAAATTCACTGCAATTTCCTCGATATTACGCAACCAAGAATTCAATCTGTCTCTCTCCGTCTCCGTAAGTAGAACTATAACCGGACATGGAGAATCACTAATCCCGGAGTTAGTTAACCCGGAGTAAGTTAGACTGTCGGTGCAACTCAGCTCAAATTGCGAGCGGCGTGCATACTCGCTCGGCTCGGCGACGCGCGAGACGGAGCTAATTACTCGGAGACGCATTAGATGGTCAGGGCAGAGGGTGCAACGATGAACTCTCGCGGTGATCGCGACTTTCCCGAAAACATCTTTCCTCTCTTACCTCCCTCACTCACTCATTCCCTTTCTCTCTCTCTCTCTCTCTCTTCCCATAGTTTTTCCGAGATAGTCGCGGCGAACGAGAGTTCTATTTTTTTATCACGAGCTCAATTTCGTCGATCGTTCGTTCGTTCCGTCGAAGTTGCAGTCGGTGCATCGTTGTCGCCCGCCTCGACCGTAGTGAGCGAACTTCCGCGACTGGGATTTTTATCGCCGGGTGTTCGCGCATCGATCTCGACGGGAAGGTCAGGTGGGAGGTGAGAGATTACGTCAGCGGAAGTAACTATGCGCCGTTACGACGCAGAATGATTTTTCAGAAGCGCTTAATGAGCAGAAAAATAATCCGTCGGAGCTTTGGCGAGTTCGGCTTCGCAAATATCCGCGGCCGGCCGATTATTTTCTTGAACACCGGATCTCCGAGACGCCTCGCGACGCAACGCGTCCTACTCCGGCGGAAAGTTAAGCCCGCTGATGGACTCTCACCCCGGGCTAAGTGGAGGGTGAAATGGAAGCGCGAGGGATTTGAAAAGACGCGAGCGACGACACATGTATCGAGTTAAGTTTACCTTCGTATAAGATTAAAAAAAAAGACAAAAGAACAAAAAAAAAAGAAAAAGTCGTCTTAAGCAATTTTTACAATTTTCAACGGGAAGCATAAGTGTAAGAGCCGAATCTCGCTTAGTAAAATTCCTAGATGCTTTTCGTGTTAAATGAATTTTCGTAGTTCGAACGCTTAGTGAGCGAGCCGAAGCGAGCGCTCGTAAACTCGCGAAATGAGAGGTTAGGGGATGGAGGAGGGGCGAGGACAGAAAGGGATGAACGAGTACAGGCAAAGAAACATGAAAGGAAATCAAAAGGTACGCCACTCCCGCTCCGGGCGACGTTTTCCGATTTTTTCACGTTCATCTCTCGGCGCGTCTGTTCGCAAGCGGCGATTCGCGGGGCTGTCGTTGCCGCTGGTAATTGGCGATTAACGAGCTCGAATGCGATCAGCATGACAGACGAACGTGAAAAGCGAAAAAACAGAGGAAAGAGAAGAAAGGGAAGAGGACACGAGCGAAAAGTAATCGCCACAGGGCATCCCGGCGTCATTACGTAACCGTCAGCCTGAGATAATCATTCCATTTGTATTCGTTAAGCGGGTTTGCATATTTATCCGGCGCGATAGAATATCTGTTGCGCCGTCGCGCGGCTTATTATTCTTTACAATTCGATGTGACTCTACCGGCGGGTCGATCCGATCTCATTTCGATAGCGCCAACGGCTGTGAAATAAGAAAACGCTCGATGCAAATCTCATTCGGCGAATAGGTCACGACATCTACTTGTGCTCGTTTATCGCGTAACACGACACGACAATCGCTGAAATCCTCCCTTCTCTCAGTGCGCATCACAGTAATTAATTCGCGGCGAAAAGCAAAGGATTCGAATCTTATCCGAATTACGATGGAAACGAGAAATTAATTATTTCACAGAACGCGAGCCAGAGCGCGCGGATACACGTGTCCGGCAATCAAGCTCGGCTTCCGTCTCCGCGACAAAGGCTTTGACTGGCTGCTCCGAGAGAAACGCAATCGAGACAAAAGGCGCTTTCGAGAATGAAGTTGCGCGACGATTCGCGTCGCGAGCAGGAGCACATCTCCACGAACTGCCGTCCACGGGATCGCGCTTCTCTCAGCACGCTTCTTCAATCACGGTGGTGTCGGGGGGGTTCTCATCGCGGTCTCGGCGCGATCGCAAATTCGACCCTAGACGCCGTATCGCGGAAACAAATGGAATATTTATGGTGATTAGATTCGGCATGAACGACGAGGCGGCAGGCTAGACGACGTTCCTCTCGCAAGGACTTCTCTAGAACCCGCGCTCCGTATTTTCCGTTCTCGCTTAGCCGCGCGAGCGCGTGCTGCGCTCGCTTTGATATGTTTATTAATGCCTGGATACGAATCCGCTGCAGTTTTACGTGCCTCGAGAGGGACCGCGAAGCTTAACCTTCTATAACCCATTTTTTGATTGTTACTAAGCCACTCTCGGGTTATGTACCACTCCTCCGCTGGACAGAGCGTTGATCATTTCAGAAGGTACACGAGTCCCCGGTATATCTCTTACCAGTAGCGTAAAAATAGCTTTGGGGCGTTTACTCCGCTGTGAGTTATAGAAGGTTGACGTAAGATGAACGCGTATACGTGATTATGTAGAGTGCCCCAGGACTATTAGCACTCCTTTTTCACTCGATAAATACTCTCCGATCACTGCGGTGTCCTCGGCGGAGGACCGCTTCGAAGTACTAAGATTTCTATAGTACCGGAACAAGAATTATTCCGGACAAGTAAAACTGAGCTCCCGAATTAATCCTACAGATAGTTGACGAAAGTCCACTCTTTGGTTAATTTCTCTTAAACTTCACGCCCGACGGGGGCTTTCTCGTAGTTTTATTACCGAGATATTTCACGAGAATGACTATAAGAACTGCGCGTAGAACTTTTCAATTTTTAAGCATTTTTCTTCCTGGAAAGTGCATTACCTACAATGATGAGAGACTACGTCGTGGATGGAAGAAAAAGTGATAATGTGCTGGGGCTGTCTCTACGTACAGGATCTCAAATTCCACTCTTGTTTAACCGACCGAGTTGGAGTGCTATACCGAGTACATTGCGAAATTGCAAGGTGTAAATACGACGGTCAATACTGTGCATTATTCATACCTTTCCTTCGATAGTCACTTCCGAAAACGTGCGCTCTGGGAGACGACAAACGTAACGTAACGGAATTGCAATGGAATTGAGCAGATATATGTATGCGGATAAGCGTGAATTTTTTTCCGACATTTCTCTTCGTAATTACCTTCTCACTCTCTTTCTCTCTCTCTCTTTCA